TTTTCAACTTTAACTTTAACATTCAACTTCTTAACCTCAACTTCAATACTTAACTTCAACTTCTTAACTTTAATACTCAACTTCAACTTCTCAACCTCAACACTCAACTTCTTAACCTTAATACTCAACTTCTCAACTAACCTTAACACTCAATTACAATTACATACAACTTAAGTAATTATTTTCCTTTTGATTCTTTGCTTTTTAATTCTTTGCTTTAAGCTAATTATTTTCTTTATTTAATAATGTCGATTCCTTTTCTTTATAACGTTATAATCGAGGTCAACCTTTTTAGCACCGGTAGCAACAAGTTAATCAACGAGATACTTAATCGCTATAAAGATTTTATAATCGTTTATGTTGATAATAACGTTGTTAATTCAATATTTACTTATTATAACGAAAAAGATACCGCTTTGTTTTTAAGACTAATCGACCTCGATTACGAATAAAAGAGTCGCAAAGGTTTTGTCGACGAGTTCGGTATCAAGCACTACGGTGCTAACAAAGTTAATAATAATATCTATATACTATGATCACTAATTGATTTTTTATTTAAAAAAAAAACGCTTAAGTCTTTTATCTCTTCGATCACTTTATCTTTTTCTTTAATTAAATTAAAAAGCAATTCACTTATAAAAATGTTAAGGTTCGATTGATCTTAAATGATCTTACTTTTAAGCTTTTCGATAGCGATCATGCCGAAGCTAAAAGCATCTTAAAAGAGCTATTAATACTATACCTTTTCACTATCGATAGCACCTTAGCATACAAACGCTTTACTTTCAAGTTCTCGGATAAAAATGAGTTTAAGTAAAGTAATAAGTGCTAAAAGCTAAAAGAGCTACTTAAGTCAAACGAGATTCATTTAAACTATGCTTATAAGCAAGAACTTAAGCTAAAGGCGGAGACCGAGTTGAACATATTCTACGTAACTGCAGAAAAACGAGTCTTTATCAACTTTTTGTAACTAATAGACTTGAGCTAAAAAACAAGTCTTTACTAACCCTTAAGCTTTTGTAACTAGTAAATTTAACTAATACTCTAAGTCTTTAATTAATAAATATAATTAATAAATATAATTAGTAAATGTGATTAGTAAATGTGATTAGTAAATGTGATTAGTAAACTTAATTAATAATTATGCATATGCATATTTTTATATATATAAACTTTATAAAGTAACCCTACGCCTTATAAGGTTTCTTTATAAAGAAGGCAGAATTTTGTACCCTTCGTAAGTTCCCCCGTGGAAAAGACTCAAAACTCCGTGGGGCCCCATGGGGCCTTATAGAGCAGCCTATATGACACGTCCTTTTTAGTGCTTTTACATTAATGACTTACGCAAGGATGTAAACTTTTGGTTTTTATCTTTATACAACTTATTATAATCGCTTGATTCGCAGTCAAGTTGACCTTCGTTTATTATTTAACACTTTATACTCGATAATTATAACTTTAAAACAATTAAAATTTTATTTTCGATAAGTTCGGACATTGAAACGCCGCAATAGCCGAAGTGCAATATTTCGGTCCTCCGGTAAAAACTTTCTTTTATTATTAATAAAAAAGAATTTTCACTTATTAATAAAAATACCTTTTTATACTTTAGCTTCTATCTTGAATTAAAGCAATTGATATAATCCGGAGTTATTAGCGAAGCTAATCAATTGATTCTTAAGTTTTTTATAGTTTTGATCTTAATAGGCTGCTCCATGGGGTGGGGGCCCCATGGGGTTTTCCTCTCTATTCCCTTTATAGGGTCTTGGCCGATAGAGGACTTTTTTTTTTAAACCTTATAGAAAGGATTTTTTTAAGTCAAATTCCTTACGAAGGATAGAGAAACCTTATAAGTTTAAAGTAAGATAGCTAAAAATAATATATATAAGGCCGCTAAAAATAAAATAAATTTACGAATATTTATTAATTTTACTTAATCATTATATTTATTTATTATATTTATTAATCACATATGTTATACTTTACAATTACATTGCATTATATTATAATAAACTAAAATTATTAAATAAAACTTCTAGTTATAATTTTCCGTAATTTCTTAACCAACGCTATATCTTTATTTTGAATTGTTATTCGTTTAGCGTGAATAGCATATAAGTTCGTTATTAAAAGTGATTAGTAAATCGATTAATAAATAAATATATAAATACTTACTTTTAAATTCTCTTACGAAGAATGCTTTTAAAGCTTTTTATAAACATTTTAAAGCATTGCTTTGAAATTTAAAGTCTTATTTAAAATCGTAAGTGATCTTTCGAACAAGACGTTAGAAAAGAGTCTTTTTGATAAGAAGCTCGGTGCTTTTTTAGTATCGTCGGATCTCTTTTAACGCAATAGCTATATAAATTAATAATTATACTTAAAAATCAATTTATTAATTGATTAAACTTACTTCTTGGCTTATAGCGACGGCGCTTTCGTTAGTTTAAACCTCTTTTTTTCGCAACAATTATAAACTTCTTGAGATACTTGCCTTTTTTAGATTTTTAACGAAAAGAAGTTTTAGCTGCCGAATGTGATTTGCTAGTTAATAGAATAAAGCGAGCAGCTTTAGCCGTCGAAAGTGATTTTTTAATTCTTTTGTATTAAGAAAAAAGAATATCATTTTCACTTAAGTTTTTTTTATTATCGCTTTGCTTTTCTTTATTTGTATTATAATAAAGCATCGTCTTCGTCGCGGTTTTTATAGCTATAATTAGGCTCGAGACAGTAAGAGACTTTTTAAAAGCTTTTTACGCGAAAGCTTTTTTAATGCGATTGCTAGTAAAAGCAAAAGAAGGTTTAGCAGCTGCAAAAGAATCGTTTCTAGCATTTAAGTCGTAAAACGGATCTTCGTTTTAAAGCTAAGCTGATGCACTCGCTAAGCTCGTCGATTATTGTATTACTTTTAAAGCAGTTTTAAAACAATTAGCGAACGAAAGAAAAAGGTTTAAAAAGATTAAACTTATTAAAAGCTGTTAGTATTTATGCTAGTATTATTAAGAACGATGCTTTTGTTTATTTCGGATTAAATAGTGTGGAGGGGAAGAGCTCCGACATATACCTAACGTCAAATCAAGAGATATATATGAATATAGCCATGGTAGAATCGTAGGTGAATAAGGGGGGAAAAGGAGGACGATCGAAGGACACTCGAATGTGTGCTGTGAGTACGTGTATTGTATTGTGTGGTGATGTGATGCTGGTTCAGGGAAGAACTAACTACTCGTCTATATAAGAGCCTGCACGTGACCTAACCACGTGCTTAGCAAGGCCAGAGCATGCAGCGCACCCACGTGATAAAGGTGCTTAGCATCAGTACTATATACATGGACAAAACAAATACAGAGCCCCAACTTCACCACAATAGTTAAAGTAAATCTGATTGCGTTTGCTAAAGAAAAATTTAATTAGTAAATATTTATTAATTATAAGTTAAAAACATTACCGGATCGAAGTTTAAGAAATGATAAGTGCTAGTTTATATTTGCGCGAAAGTTTATTAGTATTTGAAGAGCGTCACTTAAAATAATAGAAATTAACAATTATTAATTAATGAAGTAATTAATACTTATTAGCTTGACCTTAAGAAATTCGGCGAAAAAAGGACA